GTTTGCGAAATACAGAACGGTAACGGCTAGCTGATATTCTCCGCGCCTATACCTCTCTCTATACACATGTATATCGTTTCTCTCGTCGCTTTGGCAACCTCATCGCCATCCGTGGTCGCAGCGGCACAATTCTCGCTCTATATTTCTCTGTTCCCTCCCCCGGCCAGAAGTACATCGCGATTTATTGGCCGGAGTGCGCTGTCCGTATTTTCCGCCGGTAAAATCTAATTGGAAAACCATTGCGTGCACGGGAGCGTCCCCCCGTTACTCGCGCCGCCGCGCGAAAATCGCGTGTGGCCGCATAAAGGATTTAGCTATTCTTTCACTCTCTATTTCAATTCAGTCCTTAAAACATTGATTTTGCGACGGTTTACGTTCATCCGCAACATACAGCTACGCGCGCCTTGTCCAACTCAATTATATCACGTAATATATTGGCGTACATTTTATTTGGAGAGCATAATTATTTTTCCTTCCATCGAGAAACAACGTAACCAAACTAATTAAGCAGATATTTTATGATAAAAAGTCTGGGAAAATTCATTATTCATGCTTTCGTAAAATTGAACAATAAATGAGAACACTGTGTGTGCTTTTTTCGTTTTCGTCCAGTATTTCGTGGAAATAGGGAAAAAAAGTATTACACAATTTAAAGCTGGAATACTTTGAGAGACAGCATAAATGCTTAACTTGTGCTTTAATTCGGATTGAATAAAGCTGTTAGCTGTGTGCTTTAGTTCAGCTTGGATAAAGCTTTTAACAGCTTTTTTTAACTCTGTTCCGAAAACGTTGATTTTGCAGCGGCTATTCTTTCTTCTCTCTCTCTCGCGACACGTACACGCGTAATAGTGTACGTGCGTAGTTCGAAATATCGCGGAGCTTGGATTGGAGCTCCTCTCTGTGTTCTCATTTCTTTTTCTGTCGATGCGATGGCACGTAATCGACCGCGCGCGCATGCAAGCTGCCTCCTCTCTCCATATGTCGTAATAAATTCAAAAAGTTGTCTTTGAAACATTCTATATTAACAAGTATATGGAAACGTGAAAAAATTCTTTCTTTTCGCAAAAGAGGATCTCGTTATAGGGAAAAATTCCATTGGTGAACTCACGCGAAATTCTCGTTGAAAAAAAGGAACTATTGGATTCCATTTAAAATGTCAAAGAGAGAGACGTTCATGTATATAGCTTTTTATACGAACGTGCAGTAATGAAAAGTAGATTATCAAACTTTGCTGTAGCAAACGATGTTGGTTAGCGGAAAATAATATCTTTTACATTAATAAACGAGGTAAAGAGAGCCTTTGGGGAAACCAGAGCACGTAATCGAGCCGTGTTTTCAAAATAATATATTGAAATTCATCATACTTGATTTATCGTACCGGCTTTTACATGCATCCGTGCATCGATATTGTCACGCCCAGAACGCGATGATAATGGTTGATTGACGTTTTATGACCGCTGGGTAAAATATGAATTTTATTGTCTTCGCTCGTACACAATAGTTTTCATTTCTCATCAAGTTATTGGAAAAACGAACGAGTTTAATAGCGCGAAAGACTTTAACAATTCGATCGATAAAGAAAGGAATCTTGGGTACGTAACGGCAGATCACGGTAGTCGTGGTAAAGTTGTCAGAAAGGCGCCATCATAAATGGGAAAATTCGCTTCATCACGTAATATGATCACTATCTGTTAAATACTAGATATCATGCATATGCATGGTTCTATTATTTATATGTTGCAGTATCTTTGCTTTCGTGTGGATATACGTATTCTATTGCATATAATTATTAAGTGTAAAATAGATGATTGTCATAATTTCTGTCGCCGAATGAATAATGGCATTACCTGGATTGTATTTAACTACGCTACGTGATAATTTAGTTGCACTTCACGATATATTTCTTTGATGCAACGCTATATTATGTTACGTTTCTTCTTGGTTATTTTGTGAAATTAATTTCTGCAACGGAATGTAACGTTGTACGTCGCAGCAAAGTATCACATTTAAATGTTTTCACGTTTAATATGTAGTTTCCCCGAACGTGAATGTGAACTTCGGTAGTATATTTGCTCGTAACATCTAAAGTAAATGTATTTTATATTTGCATGTTGCGATAGAAAAGGTAGAGAAGGGATGCCGTAAGTTTTCTTCTGGAATAAACCGCCGCGCTAACGGATTTCAAATATTGAATGACATTAAAGCATGTTATATGGGAAAACGAATGGTACCGCCGTTCGTCAATATCCTACTAGAGAAATATTATTTACGCTTACTTTATTACATGAAAATATCAGGTTGTGTATTTTGAAAGAGTTTGTATAAATAATTTAATTTTTATAGAATTAATTATAAATAAAATGAAATTTTTTGTTTAAAAAAAATTTCGCATTATGCCATCAAACGAAAGACGATGAGAAATTAAATCTTAATGAAATTTCAACGACGCTCCTTTTAATTGGCGGGTTTGTATATTTTTATTCAAGTTTCTGCCGTGCGACAGCTATTTCTTCTTCATGCATGCCAGATATGCGCTGCAAATATTCGTTTGCATATACAGTATGCAATCTGCCTTGCGTTTTGCGCATGTTATAACGTGAATACTATTTCATTTCATAGATATTGACTGCGAGGAGATTGTCGTTTTACCGTAAAGCATGCTAAAATAACATTTTTAAGTTAGAAACATGACGATAATAGAAATAGTATTAAATGTTACGTAACTTATGTTTGTTGTATAGAGTATCCGTAATATGGGATCACAAATTTAGAAAACACAAATTTTTCTAATCTAGACTCGATTTTTCAGAATTAAAATATAAAGTTATTAATAATTTCGTGTTATATTATAAACAATAAAAAATACACAAATACATATATAAAAAGTTTTTTCATAATTATTTCTTAGTTTAAAATAATATAGCAATAAGTATAATTAAAGCGCAGCTAAGTAACTAACTAATACAAATAAATAAATAATGAAATAATAATATAATTTACGCAAAAATATTTACAAAGAAATCTTTACAAATTTAAAATCAATTTAAACTTAAAAATACTTTAAATCGATGAATTTTATCTCCATCTTTGCAAACCCTGATATTTGTACGTTAAGTGCGGACATAAAATTTGATTCGTCGAAAAATAGGAGACAACTTTTAATAAAAACATCGCAACTACATGAAATAGCGCAACTATAAAAAAGCTTGTAGAATAAATAGTCATGAGGTAATCTTTTTTTCGCCAGTAAAAATTAATAAAGGAGATGGTTTAATTCGATCCAACTGGCCATTTATTAATATAATATTCAAATATACAACGTTTCGACCATGGTGTCCATGGTTTGGTCCTTATCAAGTGTAAACTAAATTATAGTTTTACAATGAGGTTGTTTTATGAAACATCTCAATATAAAAGCTGATAATATCTATAACAAAAATAATTCAAAATACTAAATGAATGAAACTGAATGAACTAAAAATAATGAAAGTAAAAGAATTTTCATGTTGCGTGTATCCTCAAAGGTTGATTGAGTACTCTACGTACTATTCTGAAAAAACTTGACGTGATTGTATGTGGAAAGGATAAGTTGACTATAATACCAAAGAAACTGAAGTAGTCTACAAAATTTATTGCAATGATTGTAACGTATCGTATATAGAACAAACCAAAAGACATGTAGAAACTCGCGTTAAAAAGCACCGAAATGACATAAAGAAGCATGATAGTAACCATTCGGTCGTTAGCAAACACCAGTTAGTTAACTAACATATGGGTATGAGATTAATTGGTCCACACCAGAAATTTTACACAAAGGAGAAGAGGGAAATAGCCGAAATGTATTATTATGTCAAATTATTTATCAATCAAATTATTATATTATTTTATCAAAAAGCATAATAATAAATAATAATACCATTAACTTAAAAAAAGATACCGAAAACGTGAATCTTTTATACGATAGAGTTATGCAATCCACTTAGTCTTTGCAATCCCTTGCTATTGTGTTTACACCCAAATGACTTACACCACATGATTGGCAATTGGTGCCAGTTGGCTATTGGCTGTCGGTGGAATTTGCCTCAGTGCTCTATATACAATAGGACCAATCACGAAGTCACACTAGGTTCTTTGAGACAACGTCACTATTACAAAAGCAGTTTGCCATTGGCTGTCAATTAAGATTAACCGTTTCTCTCTGTGCTCCATGTATATCGGGACGATATGCAAACCATAGCGATCTTTGAGACAATGGTATCGTTGCAAGAAGCTTTTTAACCTTGAGAACACACGCAACATAAAAATCGTATTTTAAATTATTTTTATTATATTATCAGCTTTTATATATAATTAAGATGTTTCGTAAAACATCTTCATTGTAAATCTATAACTTATTGTTAGTTATTTATTACGCTTGACAAGAGCCACAAATCATAGTCGAAACGTTATTATAAATGGCTAGTTTGGTCGGATTAAACCATCGATCCTTTGTTAAAATATTCGATTGCACGTATAGTGAAATTAGGCAAATAGTTCTAATAAAATTTAAAAATTTAAATTAAAGATAGTTGAGAAATAATAAAATCTTTTTTTTTTTTAACTTTATGGTATCATAAATTATCGTAGAAAAGATAGAATGTATTGATTCTATATAAATAGATATTTCTATTTAGATGTTTCAAACTTATTTTATTCGTACAGCAATTATATTATTGGTATAGTAAATATAGTGTTATAATAGAAACTAAGATAATTTAATATTAAAGTAATTTAATATAATAGAAATTTTTAACACGATTTTTAACACAATTAAAAGTAAATAAATTTGTAATGCTTGTGTGGGTCGGTATATCATTGAATAAATATAAACTCATTATTTTAATTCGATCGATTGACGAGCTTTTACCTACTTTTTTAGATGAAATAGTACATTAGAAAATTGCACGTTGCAGATCTGTCCAGATCTGTCTCTCGAGATTTTCATTTAATGTGTTACGTACCACGACTTTTGCTCCAAGTTCTCCAAACACTCCAATCGGCGGCAATTCCTTGGGGACATATCGAAAAAATTCCGGGCCCTTGTACCATTTGACAGTGTAAAGAGTATCCGATTGTAAATCATATCTGCAAGACATGTTGACTGTTGTACCAACTGCCACTGCCAGTGGAATGTCGATTGACACATTGCTTAGTCCGCGAACGCCTAGAAAGAAAAAGAAAATAGGTCACTATCGATTGCATTTAAATATTAAAAATTGAATGGATAAATTGTAGTAAATTAACCAATAACTATTTCTATATATTTTTTATTATAACCTTCTTTATTACTTTAAATTTTATTATTATTGAGTATTTAATACCATTAATCGACTTTAAACATAATAACTCTGATACAATCATTTAAATGTTGTGTTAGAAATTATAAAATACCTACATATAAATTCGACTTTTCTTATTGTATATTTTAAGCTTAATAAGTTTCATAAAAAGCTTCATAAAAGCATATAAAATACATGCTTTGAATCTATACATATATACACCAACATGAACAGAATAGAGATTTTTTTTTACTAACGGATGCTTTGATAAACTTGCATCGAGTGCATCAATTTTTTATATTAAATATTTTTTAAATTATATTTTATATTAAATACTTTTTAAAAAGTTTTAATTTATATAAATAACAGGATATGATTTTTATTATCTATTTATAAATTTTATTTGCAAAAAATTGATTAAATAAATGATTATTTAACTAACTTTGATATTAAAATTAACGAGTAACAAGGAAAAGAGAGCTTTAGAATCAAGGATGTTGAAGCGTTACGACTAAAAAACTTTTTGAATCCAAGTAGATTCTGTAGACTTCATCATAAAAAATTCTGTCAAAGTTTGAGGTTGTTTAGGAAGCTTGCTGTTGAAAAAATTAAATAGTAAAATTACACTCAAATTTTGACAGGTTTTTTTATGATATAAAATCTATAGAATCTATTTGGATTTAAAGAGTTTTCATCATTTTAGTCGTAACATTTCAAAATCCTTAAAAATAATATAATAATTTGTTATTAAAGTTTTTTTGTAAATGGATAAATGCGTTTTTTTTTTTAATTTATTACAGATATTTTTTGAATAAGAGGAACATACTGCTATTTAATCAATTACTTATTATTAAGAGATATCACAAAAAATTTTATTCTGTATATATATCTACATAAATATATATTGAAAAGTTGCTTCTTGCTTTAAAAACGGTTAATTAAATAAGATAATTACAGTTTCAAATATTTTTTTTTTATTAAATTAATTGTGTACATAACACACACACACATACCTACTAGGTCAAATCTTTTCGTTGAACAAAAAACTACTTTTTTCTCCTATCGAAAAAAGTATAAGTTGTGCAAGATATTTATCTCACTTACTTTAACAACTTAAATGAACAAGTGTTTAAACTTTTCCTGCTAAGCCTAGCAACGTTGTTCGCTGTTACGGATTACTATTTCGGCGAAACGAGATGAGGCATCTTGCCAAAAAACGCTGGAAGAAGCTCGCAAAAAGTAACATCACGGTCGTCGATTTTTAAGCATCTATATTGCGCACTTACTTAGATCGAGTTTGAAACTTATTACCATTCCAATACACTTTACGTGCTCTGCCTGTCATGCATTATTCATCGCAGGTTTGGGAGGAGCATCATGCTATTTAAACAAATTGGTCATAATAAAGTTTTCATTAAAGCTCTCGATGCAAAATCTTTCTTAATACGAGGAGAACTCGCTCTAAAGATAAGGATCTGTGAACGCTAACGAGTGATTTAATAATATAGTTCAAGGAAACTATTTTATATACTCGAGAATATAGTATCGTCCTCAATTTACTGGGTGGTCCGTTATGTCTTAATTAATATGCATGTAGAATGTGTGCTGTAGGCGTTTAGCGGTATAAAGTATTAAACGTGATACGGAGGAATGTCAGCAACTATGACCGAAAAGCGTTACACAGAAGTGCTTACTAACGCGTGTTACAACGCTGCTGCAAATTTCCGGCTCTTATCAGGATCACGTTGCGAGAAATCTGCGCAGTTCGTCATTGTTTCGGCTTAAATGAAGAAAAATCCAACCTCGAGGAGATTGTATATTTCGCACGGTGTGTGTGGTGGTATGCGCGAAATTGCCAGCGAGGCCAGCGAGACGTGCCGTGGACTCGCAACAGCGGACTAACGCCGAAAGTTTGGTCGTTAATTAATCGTTTTTCGGTGTATCCTCTTCTAATTAATTATTTATGCCTCGATCCACCGCTGGTCATTGTGCTAATAAAGTAATTAAACGATAATTAATCTGCAAAATAATTAATTGAGAAATTAGCCGGCTAGAAGAGAGGGTAACAGATCGTGAAAACGCGACTATTAAAACACACGACTATTAAAATAATAAAAAGTATATGCATTTCAATAGAAACATCTGGATAACTTCCTCGACATCGAACGGTTAGAATGCACGTACGCACATGAGAGAGAATAAGCTTCTATACGTCGTTCTTCTTCTCGCGTGCGGCCAGTTTTAATTATCGCATTATAATAGGCGTCGTTAGGCGCGTTCTCGTTTCCTCTGATAGAATATCTCCGTCTCAGCAAAACGAAAGTTTTTCACTCGCAGAGACGCGCGACTCTTTATCACTAATCACCGCACAGTTTTGAACTTGGTACGACGTATTAGAGGAACGTTGCGTAATTAGAGCCAGTAATTGGAACGTCTGCTCCTCAAAGTTTCAGCATTGCATTGGGCTACGTATAATCAGATGTTTGGCCTCAACGTGCAACGCGCGCGGGTGCAACGCGAGCGCTCTCGCAGATCGCTGCACCGAGATTTAAATACCAGTTCACTAATCACTTTGCTAATCCTTAATTACCGCCCCCCTCCTCGCGAGAAACGCGATTGTTATTCGCATCATGTTGTTCTGCCTTCCGTTTTTGGAAGGCGAAATCTTCCCGTAAATAACGGCAATTCCGAAACAATGGCATCGCATAAATTCGCTACGTATATATCAGACTCGTCTTAAATTATCGCGAGAATAATAAAGCCCGCGAGTTGCACGCGCTTAAGCAGATTCGAAATCGCCCTTTGTGGCCAGTTTTAATTCCCTCATGAATTTATAAATGCCTGCGTGGCGTGAACAGCGAAACATCACAAGAACCGTACGTATCGAGTGTTGCGTCAATCGCACGCGAAGCAAGTTGCGTTTAATGTTTAATCAGCTAA